CAACCCGCAACCCCCAAACCCTAAACCCTAAACCCTAAACCCTAAACCCTAAACCCTAAACCCTAACCTAGGACTGCGCATCTGTCTTTGTCTTTGGTGTCTGCAGTGAAGTGCTGCAGCAAAAACTGCGCAGTGATTTCCTCGAGATGTTTTGCTGCTTCTTCTGGGGCAAAAGGGAGTGGGGAGAACAGCAGCGGGAGTTCGGGGCAAAACCCTTTGCTGCTGCTGCTGCTGCTGCTGCTGCGCGGGCTGCTGCGCGGACTGTGGGGAGCTTCTGCTGCTGCTGGAGTTGCTGCTGCTGCTGTTGCTGCTGTTGACGACAGCGGCCGCCGCAGCGGCAGGCTGTCGAGAGCGCCCTCGCGGGGGGAGAGGGGCTCGCCTGCTGCTGCTGCTGCAGGCGCTGCTGCTGCTGCTGCTGCTGCCGGCGTTGCTGCTCTTCTGCTGCTGTTGCTGCTGCAGTCTTCTTGACTTGATAAAGATGGAGATTTCACTTTCGTGCTTTCAACTCGGAGAGAAGTTGCGGAGGGTTTGAGGCTGCGGGGTGTATGTACACTGCGGAGGCCGTTGGGCCTGCTGCGGCTGCTGTCCGTGCCCTCTGCTGCTGCTGCTGCTGCTGCTGCTGCTGCTGCGCGGTCCGAAGCAGCTTCTCCTTCGAAAGAGTCTTGCACCGAAGTCACAGACACAGAAAGTCTTCGCCGCTGCTGCTCCCGGAGGCTCTTTTGCTTCGGGACGAGGCCGCTTCCTGCTGCTGCTGCTGCTGCTGCTGCTGCGCCGTCTGCAGCAGCAGCGCTCCGCGCCGCCTCGCTGCCCTCCGGCGCCTGCAGCCGCTGCTGCGGGTCCCCCTGCTGCTGCTCTTGTCGATCCCTCTGCTGCTGCTGCTGCTGCTGCTGCTGCTGATCGCTGGTGCGACTCAGCTGCCTCTTTTTGCTCCCACAAGCTCCCATTTTAAGCCAAACTAGTGCTGCTGCTGCTGCTGCTGTGGCTGCTGCTGCTGCTGCAGCCCCTGCTGCTGCTGCTGCTGCTGCTGCCCTTGTTGGCAAGCAGGTCCAGTCGCTGCGGCCGCACAGCAGCAAGCGAGACCCAGCAGCAGCGACGGCGGCGGTGCTGCTGCTGTCGGTGTTCCTGCTGCTGCTGTTGATGTTGCTGCTGCTGCTGCTGTTGCTGCTGCAGCTGCTGCTGCTGCTGTTGTTGCTGCGGCAGGCGCCGCCGCTACATCAGCCAGCTCCCGTACTGCAGCAGCAGCAGCCCCCGGATAAGGGTTGGGTGTAGCATGCTGGCCTTGCTGCAGCAGCTGCTGCAGCAGCAACGACTCTGCTGCAGCAGCAGCTGCTGCTGGTGCGGCTGCGAAGAAGTGACTCGAGCGTATGGGTCTGTGGCCGGGCCCTCCTCTCGGCTGCTGCTGCTGCTGCTGCTGCTGCAGTTGCTGCTGCTGTTGGTCCCTCTGTGGCTATCAAGCAATGAAAACAGCGTAAAGCTGCTGCTGCTGCTGCTGCCGTCACTACACCTGTTGCTTGAATTCGCGTTCCGGCAGCCGCCGCTGCTGCTGCTGCTGCTTCTGTTACTGCTGCTGCTGCTGCTGCTGCTGCTGCTGCTGCTGCTGCTGCTGCTGTCCGCGAGGACCCACGGCCTTCATCTGCTGCTGGCGCACACAAGAACAAACAGCCCTAAGAAGGAGATAAAAAATAAATAAATGAAATAAATAAATAAAAGGGAAATAAATAAATTACAAAGAGTTGCAGCTGAGCAATCCTCCCTTTTGTGCAGCGCCTTGAAGAGCCACTGCTGCTGCTGTGTTGCTGCTGCTGCTGTTGCTGCTGCTGCTGCTGCTGCTGCTGCTGCTGCTGCTGCTGCTGCTGCTGCTCTCCTCCAAGGTGCCGTAACTGCTGCTGTTGCTGGTGCCACCGCTGCTGCTTGTGTTGCTGCTGCAGCAATAAATTTGAGGTGCAGATAAACGCTGCAGCGGGGGCAGCTGCTGCAGTTTTGCTGCAGCAGCAGCAGCAGCAGCAGCAGCAGCAGCAGCAGCAGCGGCTGCGGCGGGAGACGGGGTGTACGTACAGCTGCTGCTGCGCTGCCGAACCTCCTCTAGAACTCCTTCTCAGTTCATTTAGTTCTTTTGAATTAAAATATAATTATTTTATTTTTATTTTTTAATTTTAAGTTCAAATTAAATTCAAACTAAATCAATAAATAAATACAACAAAAGCGGTACCGGCAGGGTTCGAACCTGCGACCTTGTGGTTAACAGCCACACGCTCTAACCTGCTGAGCTACGGAACCCCAAGTGGTCGGGTAAGTAAATAAATAAATAAATAAGTAAATGAATAAATAAATAAATAAATAAATAAATAAATAAATAAATAAATAAATGGTAGGTTTAGTTTATATACTCTAAAGCCTGAAGAAATAAGTGCTCTATTGGTGTTTTATTTTTGTATTTATTAGTGTTTGCTGCAGGAACTGTACGCTAGGGTTTAGGGTTTAGGGTTTAGGGTTTAGGAGGTGCGGTTTGGGGAGTGCGCGTAGTGCGTGCAGTTTATAGTTGGGGATCTAATTCTAGGGTTTAGGACTTACAGCTCAGGGGTTGGCGTCAACAGATTAGGGTTTAGGGTTTGGGGTTTAGGGTTTAGCGTCTAGGGTTTACAGACAGTATCCTCTATTTGCAGACTTGCTGCTTCACCTATGACTTGCACAAGTTCCACCACCTGGAGGCCCAGGCCTTCTAGGGTTTAGGGTTTAGAAGGGTTTAGAACGTAGGTTTTAGGTTTTAGGGTTTAGTGCGTAGGGGTTAGGGTTTAGGGTTTAGAGCGTAGGGTTTAGGGTTTAGGGTTTAGAGCTCAGGGTTTAAAGCGTAGGATTTAGGGTTTAGGGTTTGAGGTGCACCACCTTCGAATTCGTGCTTCTTGGGTGTTACCGAGAGCATAGGTTTTGGGGTTTAAGCATTAGGGTTTAGGGTTTAGGGTTTAGGGTTTAGGGTTTAGGGTTTGATGCCTTTTTCTATCACTTCCCTCACTTTCATTTTTCTTTTCTTGTAGATCTCTTCCCTATTTGTATGTTTATTCATTTATTTATTTGATTAATTTATTTATTTATTTTTATTTATTTATTTATTTTTATTTATTTATTTTTTTATTTTTATTTATTTATATATTTATTTATTTATCTATTTGATGAAAATAAACATTTGTTTAGCGTCGAGGCTTTTATTTTAGAAGCCAACAGATGTTGGGAAACATCTGTAAAGCGCTCTAGAGGGTTTAGGGTTTAGGGTTTAGGGTTTAGGGTTTAGGGTTCGAGTTAACTAACGAGCTAAGGTCACTAATCACGCCCAGCTGGCTAGATGGCTGGCCTTCAGCAGCAGCAGCAGCAGCAGCTGCTGCAACGGCAGCAGCAGCAGCAGCAACAACGAAGGCAGCAACTGTAGCAGGAGAAGCAGAAAAAGCAGCAGCAGAAACAACAAATAGGAGAGGCGTCTGCGGCAGGAGCAGCAGCAGCAGCAGCAGCAGGAGATAGAAAAAGCATCTGCGACAGGAGCAGCGGTGACAACAGCAGCAGCAGGTGCTGCTGCTGCGGCTGCTGCTGCTGCTGCCGTTGCTGCTGCTGCTGCAGATGCTGCTGCTGCTGCGGATACTAAATTGTTTCTGCGTTAGATTAGTTGCTGTCTGCGACCTGTACCTATTCAGCAGAATGCACATTCCAAAGTGCATTTATTTAAATCTATTTTATACTATTTTAATATGATTTATATTTATTAATTTAAAATTAATTAATTAATTAATTAATTCATTTATTTGTTTGCTTTTCGCCTCGCCAGGCTGCTGCTGGATCCTTCCCACTGGAGTGTATAGGCAGCTCCGGAGTCTACAGCTTTCTTCTTTTGCTGCGGCTTAAGGGTTAAAATTGTTTTTATTTATGTTTATTTTATTTATTTTATTTATTTGTTTGTTTATTTTTTAATTGCTGCTCTAGTTTCGTCTTTAAAACACCCATTCTTCTTCGATCGCTCCCGCGTTGGAGCTCAGCAGCCTCAGTAGTAGATCCTGAGCTGTCTGTACACCGCAGAAACCCCGCAGCAAAGCGAGAAGCAAAACAGATGCTTAGGGTTTAGGGTTTCGGGTTTAGGGTTTAGGGTTTAGGGTTTAGAGTTTGGAGACTGGGGTCCAGGGGTGTCGGCAGCTACGACGGGAGCCAGCAGTAGCAGCAGCAGCAGTAGCAGCAGCAGCAACAGCAGCAGCAGCAACAGCAACGAAACACCTCTGGGACCCGGGAGACACGCAGGTAAATAAAAAACCGAATAGATAAATGGAAAAATAAAAGGACAGCAATGATTAATTGAAGCAGCAGCTGCAGCAGCAGCAGCAGCCGAAGGCAGCAGAAGGCAGCAGCAGCAGAGACAGCAGCGGGACAGGAACACGGCAGCTTATAGGAGCATCAGCAGCTCCAACAGCTCCAGCAGCAGCAGCAGCAGCAACAGCAGCAGCAGCATAAAGCCAATTATCATTTTCAGAGAAACAGCTACTTGAGGTGTATGTACTCCCCAGCATCTCCTTACTCCAGATCCCTGAGCTGCTGCTGACCAGGGACAGCAGCAGCGGCAGAAGCAGCAGCAACTGAGGCAGCAGCAGCAGCAGTAGCAGCGGCGGCTGCTGCTGCAGTTGTCGCGCTTGCTGCAGCAACAGCAGCAGCAGCGGCGGACCAACGTGGGAATCCCCGACCTGCGGCGCCAGAGCCTTCGAGCCTAGCAGCAGCAGCAACTGCAGCAGCAGCAGCAGCAAGCCAGTATCTGCTGCAGCAGCAGCAGCAGCAGAAGTCGAAGCAGCAGCAGCAGTAATGGGGGGCTCCCCAAAGGCAGCAGCGGAAGCAGCAGCACTGGGGCCCAGGGCCCCTGTGCTGCGCCTCAAGGAGCCAGTGCTGCTGGCCGACAGCAGCAGCAGCAGCAGCAACAGCATTATAAAGCGCATGGACAGCTTCAGCACCGCCAGCAGCAGCAGCCGCAGCAGCAACACCAACAGCAGCAGCACCCCCTCAGCAAGGGACAGCAGCAGCCCTTTCGGCAGCAGCTGCAGCGGGAGAAGTCCCAGCAGCAGCAGCAACACCCCAAGCAGCAGCAGAAATATCCCCAGCAGTAGCAGCAGCAGCAGCAGCAGTCCCAGCAGCAGCAGCAGCAGCAGCAGCAGCCCCAGCAGCAACAGCAGCAGCAGCAGGAGAGGCGGCCCCAGCAGCAGCACCCCGAGCAGCAGCAGCAGCAGCAGCAGCACCCCGAGCAGCAGCAGCAGCAGCAGACGGGGCGCCCCGCGGGGGGGCCTGCTGCTGCAGCAGCAGCAAGCAGCAGCAGGCAGCCACACGGAGACAGAAGCACCGGGGCAGCTAAACACTTTGCTGCTGCAGCGGCAGCAGCAAGCAACTCCTATTTTGCGGCTGTCTGTACACCCCAGAACTGGCGCCGTCTCCCGCAGCCAGAACCCTCCGGGTCCCCAAACCCTAAACCCTAAACCCTAAACCCTAAACCCTAAACCCTCGGGCAAGGTGGGGGTCTCAGCTGAGGCTGCGGCTCGGCTGGCGGCGCGTTTAGGGTTTAGGGTTTAGGGTTTAGGGTTTAGGGTTTAAGGGGGTTTGTGTGTTTCAGAGTTATTGTCTCGCTGTCCCGTCGGCGGGGCCCCTGCCCGTCTGCGCCTCAGCAGCAGCAGCAGCAGCAGCAGCAGCAGCAGCAGCAGCAGCGGGGGGCGAGTGTTGCAGCTGCAGCACGAGGGCTACCGCGAGCGAATAGAAGCAGCAGCAAATGGAACCCTCAGGTGGGGAGAGAAGGAAGCAAATGATGGCAGCTGGGTTGAGAAGTGGGCAGTGCAAACACTGCAGCAGCAGCAGCAGCAGCAGCAGCAGCAGCAGCAGGATCGCGTGCTGGAGTTCGGCCAGAGCCAGGGGAGAAACTACCGCACCAATGAACGGTAACCCTAAACCCTAAACCCTAAAGCCTAAACCCTAAATTTCAAAGCCCCTTGCCTGAAGTATGCTGCTGTTAGGGTTTAATGGCCAGGCCTAGGGTTAAGGGTTTAGGGTTTAGGGTTTAGGGTTTAGGGTTTAGGGTTTGTCGGCAGGTGGGTAACCCGCTGGGAGGAAACGGGGCGCGAGCGCCGGCTCGAGAAGGTGGTGCAGGAGCTGCTGCCGCAGCAGCAGCAGCAGCAGCAGCAGCAGCAGCAGCAGGAGTCGGAAGTGCTGCAGGAGTGGGAAGAAGAAGAAACCGAAGACAAAGAAAAAGGAATAATTGAAATTAAAAAAAGAGGGACTGACAGACAAAGACAAGAAGGGAGACACTGGACTTTGCGGCTGCTGAAGCGGCAGCCAGCAGCAGCAGCAGCAGCAGCAGCAGCAGCAGACGGCGCAGCAGCAGCAGCAGCAGACGGCGCAGCAGCAGCAGCAGCAGCAGACGGAGCAGCAGCAGCAGCAGCAGCAGATGGAGCGGGAGACGTCGAAAGGAGTCTTCGGGGCGCTGCGGAGGAGCTGCTGGGGGCTG